ACAGAGACAGACACAGAGACAGACACAGAGACAAAGACAGTCCTGCTGAGTCTCTCGTTTTTACAGATTCAGGGAAACGTATTTGTCCTCCAGCTGCAGGAAGAAAACCAAATGCTGCTGATGACCATCTTCACCACAACTCAACCAAACGTAGACAAAGGAAAGTCGCCACAGAGACAAATCAGCGGGACTGTCCTTTCAGAGAGTGTGATGTCAACTTTAACCCAAACAAGCTGATTGAAAGAAAAGCCAGCGTGTGATCATGTGTCATTCTGTTCCACTTCGTCTCGTGTGGTTTGTTTCATATTGTCTCTGAGTGTTTGTTGCATTGTTTGATTTTCATCATAGTTTTCTTTGTGTTTGAATCATCGTCATCGTTGTTCTGTTAGTTTGGATTCAGTAAATATTACAACACACCTGAATGATCGAACATAGATGTTTGTAATTATATCAAACAGATAGTACATTTGTGTTTTTTATATTTATGCCCTGATGTGGTTTGATCTTCAAACTGCTGTGTCATATTTTACAAATATCATATCGCACACACACACACACACACACACACACACACAGTCTCACTGTTGATTCAATGTGATGACACGTGCACCGAGGACATGAACTGTCCATGAACTGGTTCCAATAAGTGGAGTTTCATTACTAGTGAGTTCTGCTTCATCATGTGAACAGCAGCTCTGTAACAGTTTGCACCAACACGTCTTCATAAAAACCTGGAGAAAGTGCTGCACGTAGAGTTACTGTTTGAACGTGTGTGTGTGTGTGTGTGTGTGTGTGTGTGTGTGTGTGTGAATATTTAAATCCAGCTGTTTTTCACAAAGGATTTAAAAACATCTACATGAAGGACAATGTCTGAAGCAGCTTCAGTGTCCTACAGCAACAAGATTCAGACGGAGCAGAGGACAACGTGTCCTCAGAAGCTGAAGCAGGAGGAACGACAGTTGCTTCTCAGTGGGATTGAATTGTTCAAGCTGTGGTAACCCCCCCACACACACACACACACACACACACACATTTTACATCTGCTCTGCATCACTGTTACTGCACCGACTGTGTCCGAGCGTCAGCTGCTCCTGCAGGAACCTCTGTCTTTAAAATGTGGCTTAAAAATGAACTTTGAATAAAAGTAGACGACCTCGCAGAGACTTACTCGTGACCTCATTACATATACATGAGTAAGATCAGATATTAATACGTATATACATGTACACAGAAGGTTTCTGCAAACTGCTGCTTATATCTGTTATATATAATCTCTGTTTCATCATAGTATCTGAATAAAGCATCACATTCCACTTGTTCATATCAGCACTGTGCATATGTCGGATTCTCTTCTTCTCACTAAAATTTTAATTGAACTAATATTCAAATACTTTCTCCCATCATCATCAAGATGTTAAAATTAAATGTTAAAGAAAGTGAAAACTAATTCCTGGATCTGCTCCCTCATGTGGATCCACACCAAAATTGAATGGGTTCTTTTCTGGACCACATCCACCAACTTTCAAGAACTCAACAGTAATGAGATCATAACCTTCTTGGCAGAGGTAATACGAATACAGGAATCTTGCATATTATCACAAACGCACATATTCAGTCACAAATTAAAAGACTTTAATCAGTTAAATTGAACTTAATACTACATTAAAAACCTGGATATGCCAAAGCTTCTCTCAGTCCGACGTGTGTGTTCCACGTGATAAAGTGAGAAACTCTTTGAAGCTCTGAGGCCTCAGCTCGTCACTGAGCCGCTCGATTAACGTCAGCGGGAATTTATCAGCTCAGGGAAGAACTGAAGTGAAGACACAAGAAATCATCAGATCCAGGTTCCAGAGGATCAGTGACATCAGAACCTCAGTGACATCAGAACCTCAGTGACATCAGAACCTCAGTGACATCAGAACCTCAGAGGATTCACATCAGCATGTTTACGTCCCAGGTGTGATGAACCTGGACTGACTCAGTGAGCGGAGCTTTAAGACTGAAGAGTATTTGTAGGTAGTATTTGATATTCTGTAGTATTACTGTACACCGACAGTGAGATCCACCAATCAGAGATGTCGCAAATACACCTGAGGATTGTGGGTAGTGTAGTTTTTACTTAAAACACATTTAATATCATAGAAACTTTAACATTTTGACTGAATCTTAATTTGCGTTGATGAAGTGAATCAGACATATTATATGTTCAGAGGAGTGTGAGGAGCTGAAGACTGAAGGGACGGTCGGGCCTCTCGTCCTGGATCATGTTGTTTAAATGGATCTCTGAGGTCGAACGTGAACAGAAACCCAGGATGGATCCAGACGACTCTGATGTGAACTGTAAACAGGATGCAGCTCGTTTAAAGGGACAGTGCTGCTGCTGCTGCTGGTCTCATGAGACCTCCATGATGTCTCCTATGGAGACCTGTGATCTATCACAGCCCGAGGAGCCACATCACTGTCGTTCACACTTGTTTGTGTCTGTTGACTCTCGTCCTGTCGGGATGACACTGCTGCAGCCGACCCATATTGAATATCCTTCTATATATTTCATGAGACGACAGAACGGCTCGGAGGTTCTGGCTTCAACAGCACAATCAGGGTCAACAACAGTGCGCCCTGTCAAAGTGTCCTTGAGCAAGTCACTGGACCCGAAGCCGCTCGGACAAAACAGGACGGCCACACAACACAGACACACAACATGGAGACGTGAAGGTTCAGATTTGCTGGAAAATATTGTCACGACACACACGTAGGAACGTGTTTACTGGAGCACTGCAACACCGAGGTACAGCTGAGCCAATTCAGAAGCTGACCCACTGCCAGTGTGAACACACACACACACACACACACACACACACACACACACACACACACACACACCTAACAGCAGGAACACAGCCGTCCTCTGCTGTCTCATTCTGAACATCCTCCCAGGAAATACACACACCCATGTATTCAGCTTGATGCTGCTGCTGTCTCATTCTAAACACAATCCAGCCATGATCACACACACAGACACACACAGACACACACACACAGACACACACCAGTCCAGCTCATCACAGGGATCCTCCCAGTCTGTCGTACCTGGGTGCCGGCCTGTGGCTGCTGTGGGAACAGAGCCAGGGTGGTCGGCCTCTTTGGTCGATATTTGTCCATGACAGCACAGGTTGATCCCCCCCTTTGACAGGCGGCAGCTTCTTCCCCTCCCTCCTCTTCTTCCCCTCGTCCTCCTCCTCCTCCTCTTCTTCTCCCCCTTTATCAGGCCACTGTCGGCGCTCCTCAGCTCAGGCGAGGCCTCTCCCACCCTCCTCTACCTCCCTCTCTTCCTCTTCTTCCGCCTCAGTCTCCTCAGCATCAACCAGCTCCCAGCTCTGGTCTCTGGACACACCCCTCCTCCTCCATCCTGGCTCCTTCATTGGCTGAACACAGTGTCACATCATCACCATCAGCATCATCAGCCTGGGAAGAGGAGAGGAGAGAGAMAGAAGGAGGGTGGGAGGGAGGGAGGGACGGAGGAGGGATGGGAGGTGTTGAAGAGACATGGGATGAACGAGGGATGACAGAGAGGAGACGGAGAGGGGGAGGAGGAGGAGGAAGTCAGGGCCAACCAATCAGAGCGAGGCATGACATCACCAGCTCCTCTGCCTGTGGCATTTTCAGTTCAGGCTAATAAACAGTGTGTGTGTGTGTGTGTGTGTGTGTGTGTGTGTGTGTGTGTGTGTGTNTGTGTGTGTGTGTGTGTGTGTGTGTGTGTGTGTGTGTGTGTGTGTGTGTGTGTGTGTGTGTGTGTGTGTGTGTGTGTGTGTGTGTGTGTACAGTGAACAGTAGGTGACACCTCCGTCAGTAAAACATCATGAAAACCAAAATTCAAGATTAACATCTGTCAACATCTGGATCAGTGGCTCGTACTGAATATTTGTTTTTAATTCTTGTGTGTGAATTTTTAATTATTATTATTTGTCTTCAAATGTTTTGTTATTTTATCTGCTGTCTTTGATTTGAGGTTTTCTATCATATAATTTATTGTCTTTCATTTTAAATGACACTGTTTTAATTTGCTTCTCGACTTCGAAGCTGTTTTGAAAGTTGCGATCCTTTTTTTTTTTCTTTCTTTCTTTTGTTTAATTTTAATTTTAAAGTTATCAGGTGTTTTTTGTTGTTTTGAGAAACTGGTTTCGTCAAACAAAGAAAATTAGACTTTAATTAACACCAGGAATAATCCTAACTTCTATAGTTCAGCAACCAGCCAGTGAACTAGTCAAAGGATTAACCAGTCAGTCAGTCAGTCAGTCAGACAACAGTTCACCAGCTTCGATCTTTTTAATTAATTTTCCATCTTTATCCTGATTGGTTGACGTGTTGCTGTCCGTGGTGCTGAAAGTTTCAGCTTCGTTTCAGAATATCACGACTTCTGTTAATTTAACTTGAGCAAACTGTTCGAGCTGTTTTTTATCTGATACTTCAGTTTGAGTCTTTTATTCTCCTTTATATTTCTCGTACTGAACGGTACGTTTTAAATAATGAGAGAATAAACAGAACTCTGTGGATAATGTTGCTGTTCTCTGAATCCAAAGTTTAGACGAATCAACAAATTCACATTTTACCAAAAACAATCAAAATAAAACATTTAAGTTTTCAGGAAATATTCACCGAACGATCCATCAGTTTAAACCACCTGCAAAGAAATAATACTACAAACGATCAGGTCAAAGTTGGATAGTAGAGTCGGGGACTGAATTTTGGATTTAATCAAATTAGTTTAACAGTTAATGAGGGTGGGGGGTGGTTCAGGATGTACAGCGGGTGGCTCACTTACCAGATGGTCAGTGGTTTGATTCTTGGTTCCTCCATTCTGCATGCTGACGACACTGATCTACAAACCCCCCCAAATCACTGAATTAATGTGTGTGTGTGTGTGTGTGTGTGTGTGAGATCAAGACTAAAAAAGTAAAACAGAAAACACATGAGACTCGGTTCAATCACAAGTCCTTCAGCAGTTTTAATGAAAATAAACTCTTTTTGTACAAAACCAATAAATATCCATGTAACCCACAGATCTCAGACAGACCTGTGGCCCCGGAGGGCCCCGAGCTGCCGCCCGTGGAATGTTCGGTAAAACACAAGCCCCTGAATGGGGCTTGTGTTGTGTTCAGGAGCGGTGGGAACTGTGAGCGTTTCTCTATGCTCGCAGACTGAACTGGGAGCGTTCCCACTGATTGTCCTTTTTTTTTTTTTTTGCAAACTCCACAAGCTCCCACTTTTCCTGAACACCTACAGAACGACACCCTCCAGGAGCTGAGGTCTGTCTCACAGAAAAAAAAACAATCACTTGAACTCTGACCCATCCAGGCGACAGTAAGGGGGTTTCACAAAGTCACTGAGGATGAAAATTTAAACCTAAACCTTTATATAAAATCACAGTCGTATCATTTCTGGTTCAGTTCTGGTTGGAGAGTCAGAAACAAATGGATTTAGAAAAACTGTTTATCTCAAAGAAAAATACTCAAAACTTTCATCTGTGCTTGGTTTGATTCCACGTTCTGAATCTTAGTGGTAAAAACATTAATTT